GTCGTCGTTATTCACTCCAAATCGACACGAACGTGAAAGAAGAAAATAACGCAACAACTGGTGTCAGAAGAAAAAAAAATCGTAACAATACTCTTTGGAGCGGAGTTATTGAGATGAAAATTTAATTTTGTGGGAGTAGAGTTCCCGAACTACCGTAAATGATGGTGGCTATCGTTTATTAGTTTTAAGATGAAAGCAAATACAAATATTCTCATAAGCTTTATAATATAGTTTTACTTCTTGTCTGTGCTGCCAAAGTTGCGTTAGATTTGTGTTTATTTATGAAAATGGCTCTTCGTTGGAAGAAGAGAACTAAACAAATGCAGCTAATTGATTAATCAAGTTTTAATAAAGTTTATCCGTATACAAAATTGTCAACAAGGGAAGCAATGTTTAATCTAAATTTTATTCTTTTTCTAGAAGGAGAAAAAAAGTAAAGTCTGTTTTATTAAGCAGGGTTTGCTATTTCCACTGCTTGTAAATAAACATCATAATTTACTACGGCACACTTATTAAACTATGCGGTAATTTTCATATTGGAATTTATTCTTTGGTGTAATTTTGATGTTCGAAAATTTATCTTAATTAGACTTCTTGCAAATATTCTCCGTTTCCGAAAAAAAAAAAAAAAAAAAAAAAAAAAAAAAAAAAAAAAAAAAAAAAACTTCATGATGCTTCTGCGTATGGAGGAGCAATCTGTAAAATAAATAAATAGTCTGTTAATAAAATAGACTGTTCTGTAAACTAGAGTCAGTAATCATGTTTATAGGCAATAGAAAGTTTCAGTATTACTGCTTTCTTATAATGGAATCGAAGTTTCTTGGTGCACGTCCAAATGGAGTCCGTTTGTGGGCGAAAATAGACAATTTCAGTTTAGAACTGGCAACACCGAGAAAAATATTAAAATTTATTTTGTCAATGATCTATATTTCAGGCTTAACGTAGACAAATTTCGGAAAAACAAGTAATATATATATAAAAAAAAATTTAAATTGGTTCCTACTTAGGCCAACAAAGAAAAATCTTATTTTAGTTACTTTTATTAACATTTTTCGTTTCTAATTTATTGGCTCTTTCGAATGTAGCGATTTGTGCATTTACTCTTCTCAGTGTTTGTGAAAGCTGAATATGTTGTCTTTCTTGGCAAGTTTAGCGATGTTCTTGAGTTTCATTTGCTATTGTTAGTGCGTGGCTACGACGTAGATCTTGTAATCATAATTTGCGTTGTCCTTGAGTTTAATTTTTTAGTAGTAGCTACGCGGTCAGCCCTCGTTTGGCTTTTAAATGTACCGAAAAAATGCCTGAAGGGAACACCAAACGTTAAATTTAAAATCTGCGCCGAATTTTACTCTGCAAATAACTTAATAAAAAATTTTTTAAATGCATTACATGTAAGAAAATTGCAATGAAATAAGCAATATCCTTTAATACAAATATTAATTATCCTAATAAATAAATTAACTAACTTCTCGTTGCTTTCTCTCAGCAAACGTCCAGTATCCAAGAGAAACATTAAATTAAAAACCTTCATAGAATTATCGCCCTCATTTTTTCCAAGTGGCAGCAGTGCTGATTTTCAACAATCAGCGGTCCAGTATACAAATAGTAACAATACTCTATATAGTTCCTATACAAATTTCTATAGTTCCAGTATACAAATGAATGATAAATTGTTACCAAAACCACACTTCTAAAAGAATGAAACTATTCAAAATGATGCGATAAAATCGTAAAGATAAAATTTTAAAAAAATCTGATTCGAATTTTGAAAAAGATCGCTGCGAAGTGCACTAGCTCTTGTCTAGATGCCCCTATAAACCAAATTTCGTAGCCCTGGGTCTATTAGCTTACTCGCTGCATGAACGAAAAGACACGCAGGCTCTTTCTTTTATTATACGTAGAGATTGTTAGTGCATGTCTTTGACGATCAGCTAATAATCGAGTTTCGCGCTACTCTTGAAGCGCATCCTGTAATCTTTGATTTCGTTTATCTAAGCGTTGGCGCTTTTCTTCTTTTGTTTTATTTGCAAGCTTTTATGGGCGCTTATGTTTTTCTTTTTCTAATCATCGCTTGCGATGTGTTGTAGTTACTTTTCGTATTCTACGTTTGTGAAGCAAGGGACATTTTTGACAAGCAAGTGTTATATTTTAAACATATATTATTATCACGTTAACATAGAAATACGGGAGTATTTTCGCTAGATAATGAGACATCACGTCCTCTTCCTCCAACTCTGTAAAACTACAATGAAATACATTCCGATGACCTCAGAGATCACGTGACTTATGTATAGCTTTTTTAACCAAACAATGCAGATGACCTCAGAGATCACGTGTGTTATGTACAGCTAATGTAAACAAACAAGATCATTTTTCCTCTTCTTCTCCTGCGTAATGTGTCTCATTTATTCTCTCATACCGTACATTTTAAAAATCTTTAATCATGTACTACTTTTCATATGTTGTTATAAAATTAATTTTTACAGCACATGAGAATTCCTAATAAACGGTCATTATAATATCTTTAAAATCACATATCTTTAGTTCCAGTAAATAAGTAGGAATTCACTTTAATTTGTGAAAAAACTGTACTTACATCAAGTGTCATCCACTACAAGTTCAAAAAATTTATTTGAACTTGAGTGGATGAATAAAAAGTATTTTATTAACGACTGAAAGTTTGAACAAGATATAGGAAGAGTGTGAGCTAATAGTAGGAGTTTAAAAATCCCATAAAACTATGTTTGACAAATTATGTGCAATATACCTGGACAAAATTTTACATTAATTAGGAAAGTAAACATCGCGAGTTGAAGGCTGTGCGTCAAGTAAACAAAAATTAGAGATCACTACACTACATAATAACTCTTTTCAATGTTTGTATACATAACTCAGTAAAGAGGATTCTAATATTTCAAAGCAAATTGAAATTATCTTTCATCTGTGTAGAAAACTTAACATTGTGAAAGCATAATTTATTTGACTTTTTTGCGAAATTCACTAGTAAATTCCTTTGCATCTCAGAAATGTTTTATCACAGGAAATTCTATATAAAACTCTACATCACCGTAACGTACCGAGGACAGTAAGTTTACAACAAACATTTTAATTCAAATGTTATTAAAATATGCTATCAAAAACCTTCGAAGCAAATTTTAAACTAAAGCAGTTCACTAAAAGAATTTGCGCAATTTTTCCCAGTAGGTTTTAGCAAAAAATATGAACAAAAGATAATATCTAGTGTTTTGTAGAAGTTTAAAAATCAGTTTTATAAAAATATTTGATCTCAGATAAAATTAAGCTTTTTATAAAGTGTTCTAAGATATGCACTTAAAATGAAGTTTTGTAAAGAACAAGGCTTAGCAACTTTTTAAGATTTGCAAACATTCAAAATAAATCTTCTTTTTATAGCTCAGTAGGTTACTTTTTTTGAATATTCCCTATAAATAGGGAAAATCTACAATAAAGCTGTTTTCCTATAATTTACGTTAGCTACTTAGGAAAAAATCCCGTTATGACAGAAAAGATAAATACAAGCCCCTTCAAAAGATATTTATCTTTCTAAGTTTTGAGCTTTTATTTTTTTATAACTTTCATTTACACAGAAAGTACTTTAAAATTTTCATGAATTTTTAAATTCACAAATATGGTTTGTTTAGTTATACGAAATAATTTTTTAGTTGCATATATTATTTCTTCATACTTTTCATCCTATAAAATGACAAGCCGACCAATTATTCCTTAATTAAAATTAGTATTAAATTAATTATTACCTAAAATTTGTATTAATTAGCATTAACTTTATTACTAATTACCTAAAATCAATAATAAATTCATTACCTATTCTGTACTTCAAATTAGCATTAAATTAGTTATAACAACCAGTTATTTTTAAAATGTTTTCTAGCAAATTATATTGAGAATAGCTTTCGAATAATCGCAAACTGGATGAAAAAACATGTAACAAGTTAACAATTAAAGGTAAAAGAGGCTATTAACAATTTTGGATTAACGTATTCGTGCAAAAATAAACTAGTTAAGATAATTATTTTGTAATAACGAAATTAGTTTTCTAATAACAGGAAATGGAAAGGTAAAAACATATTACAGTTTGGAAATTAAAGGGAAATATCAGTAAAAATTAACAAAATAATTAAACAGTAATTTTTCTTCAAAATTAATAATACTTAATATTTATGTCAACAAGAATTTCAAGATAAACATCTACATTGGAAAAAACAGAGGAAAACTTCTCTTTATGATAATATTCTTACTAATTTTAATTATGCAGAATTTATTTTTGCAGTTTCACGTAATAAATGCTACATTACAAAAAAAGAGCACTCTGATTGGAAATATAAAGCAAAATTCAGCTATATACTGCTGTTATTTATGTGTAAATACTATGCATTTAGAAGGAAACTGATACGAAACACTTCTTTAAAATACTTGTAGCGAAGTAACGGAATACTTTCGTTTTTGAAGGAAACTATTTCCAAAAAGAAATCATTTTAGAGTACTGTAGGTTATTTCGAAGCAGGAAAGATGAAAAATGAGCAATGCCCTGGCCGGGACTCGAACCACGGACCTCTCGAATTCGCGTCGAGCATGCTGACTACGACACCACGAAAGCATGCTAAGAAGGCGGGAGAAATACCTTATAGTTTTCCATTAGAAAGAGGAACATGTTAATTTTTCTTGAAAAATCATAGAGTTTCATAGAGTTCCTTCAAACATCAGTTTTTGGTAGAATTTTATTATTATAAATTGAATGGGAAAATTTTTTTAGGTTTTGATTTTAAATGCACCATTTTGATTTCAGACATTGTAATTAATAGATTTTATCTATAATTTTTCTGTCTTAAAAATCTAGCGAATGCTCTCCTTTTACTAAATACTGCCAATCAACAAATTTTGATTATGATTAGACGCCAATGGATTAAATATTTTATAAGGCATTCTATAAATAAGGGGTCACTGTTAAAAGACAAGTTACTCACCATCCAATGGTAATCCATGATTGAAAATCAGTACATAATACAAACTAACTTTCTGCAGACAAAGGGAATGCTCTCATCAACAAGTGACACGGTTTTGACAAAGTTTTCCCAAACCCTTCACTCATATAGCCCACATATTCATCCAGTCATTTTCAGTAGAGTCAAGGTGAGGGGTTGGGGTCGGTCCGTAAACAATGGGTAATCAACTGCTTATTCATTGGGAGGGAACATAGAAAGAAATCTGTTCTTTGGACTTAAGAGCAGGAACTCAGCAAGGTGAGGTGACACAGCGACATCGTTTTGTAACGGATATTCACAAATAGTTCTCTCTGCGTCGGGTCGCTGGTAATGACTGAAAGTGTTGCGTAAAATAATTTTCCCTGTTTGTTAAAAAAGGCCTTCATTTGATTGTCTTCCGTCATTTCCTAAGTTTCTTGGGCGGAGGGCACTAACATCCGGTCTGTAATAATTCAGTAGTCATAATGTCAACATGTTACAAAATTTATTGTCTGTTTACTATATTTTGTCATTATGTGTTCATAATAAGCAAACGACATGGTAACATAAGTTCTGTGAGAGTCATTAACAGAATTCAGTTTGAAACAAGCTGTTCTAGCAGTTTTTGTTTGCAAAGACGAAATGGATTTGCAAGCATCCAACTGTTACGGTATTTTTGAAGTTGAATATTTGACTACAATAATTACATGATCGCGGAAAAATCTTTGCGAAAATATAATAAATAAATTAACTAGTTAAATTTAGTTTTGTCATTCTAAGCCAAAGGGGCAATTTGCTCTGAAGGACTATTATTTTCATTCTGGCATTTTGCGTTGCTTCACTATAAATGTCCGATTTACTTTTCAAATTGTTGAAACGAAATATTATCGCCTTGTATTATATTAAAAGAAATTAAATAATGAAGAATCTGCATAAATGTATGTACGTCTCTCGCATTATGAAAAAACAACGGTACATAGAGCTATCAAAGTTTTAATATTGAACGTTTCCACCCGAATATTGGCATCTGGAAGCCCAAATTTGAAATTTGGAATTTGTTTTGTTATCGATTTCATATTTTGTAGAAGTTTAAAGAATTTTAGATTAACAAACTCAAGAGTTACAAAGCGAGCCATGGCAACTTTGTACAGAAAAAACATTTTTATGTCCAGTCCGCGAGACTGTGTATCGGGAATTCTAAAAATATGCTCATTTTAAAATTGTTTTGCGATATTACTGTTGAACAGAATTTTATGGTTTAAGTGCGAAGAACATAATACGTAATAAATAAAGGTAACACACAAAATGTTAAAAAAAACCGCCTCTTTGAACGTAATTTAAAATTTGAAACTTTTCAGAGTTTTATTTATTAGTTCAAAGAGGTTTTTGTCTTTGAAGGAGTATTGTTTTCGTTTTGCGATTTTGCGCCGATTCATTACAAACGGCGAATCGCTTTTAAAACTGTTGCCACAAAGTATTATCGTTTTGCGTTATATTTAAAGAAATTAAATAATGAAAAATCTACATAAATGTATGTATATTTTTCACATTGTGATAAAACAACGGTAGATAGAGCCATCAAATTTTGAATGACGTAATCCTCCTGCAAATAGGGGTATGTAGAAGACCAAATTTGAAATTCGGAATTTCTTTTATTATCGATTTCCTATTTTGTAAAACTTTAACGAATTTTGGATTAACAAACTCAAGAATTTCAAAGCGAGCAATGGCAACGCTGTACAGAAAAAACATTTTTATCTCCAGCGCGTGAGTCTCTGTATCGGAAATTCTAAAGATATCCTCATTTTAAAACTATTTTGCGATATTGCTGTTGAACGGAATTTTATGGTTTAAATGCGAAGAACATGATATTTAATAAATAAAGGTACACAAAATGCTAAAAAAACGCCCCTTTGGACGTAATTTAAAATTTGAAACATTTCAGATTTATTATTATTATTATTATTATTATTATTAATATTTTATCCTTGCTTTGTAATGATTCATCTTATAATCTATTTTAATCGTGACTGCTTCGCGGGTTAAACATTATGAAAAGCTTATCAAGAAGCATATTTTTGCTTCTTATATAAACATACAATATTTACTCACATATTTCTTTCCTTGCGTAATTTCTACCCCTGGCGTTTTCAGCATGTAATATAGAAATTTTGGTTTGTGGTGTTAATATAAAATGTATGGAGGAATTGGAAAGTAATTTCTATAAGTAGAAAGAATATTATTACTGAAATTGATTAGCTCTTTGAAATGCATAATGTAATAACATTAGTGTGTCATTATATGTACTTTTTAATGTGCTATGTTTATCATTAAACCTGTTTCTTCAAAAATAGTATACCTCCACCGCATTTAACTTCACCACTCCCAGTTTTCGAGCGGTAGAATCACTAAGAAAAGGAGGAAATCTATGCGAGTGAGTATGATATGTATATCGTCTTTAGTTAACATGTAGACAATAAATCCAAAACATTTTATTCGAATTAGTTTTCAGGGTGTTTCAAACTGTTTTTACTATTAAGTAAATCGAAACTGCAGTAGGATATATACACAGGATCTTTCTATAGTTAGAACTAAATCACAAGAAATAATTCAAAAATATCCTTTCAAATATTAAAGGGGATTTGAGGATAATACTAATTTTTAGAGTAATATTATTTTTATATCTAATTTTAGTAGAGATAATATCTTTTTGTTAAAGTCTACATTCTTTACGTATGTGTTTGCAATCATTTTTTCCACTTGGTATCCACGCTTTGAATTTTTAATAAGCATACATATCACACTTTAACTAAATGATGTCAAATCCAAAGTGTGCTTAAGTGTTTAATTAACATTTAACATTTGTTATAATTATTATATGCTTCTTCTTTCTGACAGAAGCATTTACAGATCTGTTTCTGCACATTTGTCCAAATTCTGTCTTGCATGCATAACGCAAAATAATAAAATTAATTTGAAGCAGAATATTTTATTTACAAAAGTGGCAGGAAATATAAAGTCCTTAAATTAATTAAATTAAATGTAACCAACATTATACATTAAATTTCAAATTTATACAAATTTTATGGCAAGAACTTCCATCTTCATCACCCAGCAGTCCAAATAAATTCTTAACCTGTAAAAGAAAATTATACATTTTCTTATTCTTATTTCTTATTTTATTATTTTCTTTAGTGATACAAATTTTAATTTCTTTCATAGAAAAGAAAAAGCTAGTATAAGACATTCAAAACAAAATTTTATTATGAACTCAAACTGAGCACTTTCTCAGAATTTCTGACTATATGACTTACATATCTAACAGTTAATTAAAAATCTGTAGCTGGAAATAAAAACAAAGATTGCAATCATCTTTTCCACTTGGTATTCACGCTTTGAATTTTTAATAAGCATAGATATCACTATTTAACTAACTGATATCAAATCCAAAGTGTGCTTAAGTAACCAGCGCTCTACTTTCTATCGCACATGAGTGACCGAACGTATAACATCAGTCAACATGGTAGTTTGACCCAGATTCAGTTCTCAACAGCCCACCAGTTTCCGAATGGTAAAGTAGCTGAATACTGGTAGCTCGGTCCGGGGTTCGAATTCCGGCGAATTGGCCGGTTGCATGGGCGTTTTCGTGGTTGTGTTAATTCAAATTTGGTTCATTTACATGTAATGTATATACTAGCCAGCCCCTTAGAAAGTCCTCCAAGAAAGCATTGGGCAAATAGCCCCCTTGGGCAAGTAGCCCTCGAGTGCATTACCATAACCAAATAAACCAAACCAGTTCTCAGCAAACAAACTACATATATGGGTATTTTTAGTATTTTTCTCTATGTGTAATGCGAATATGAGTTAATTTCCTTTAGGAAGTTCCTCAACGAAATTATCTCTTTCTTTAAGAAGATAACTTTAGTGAGTTGCGACTTAATATTACAGTCTACGTATAAAAAATAAATCGAAAATATATATAGCATATAGAAAATATATATAATATCAGTACATGGACAAAATCATCTACTCTTTATCATTAGAGTTTACTTTTGTATAACAATTTGAGCTCTATGCAGTTTTACTAAGAAGGCAGTTAAATCAAACTTGCAATATTTATCATTTTAATGCTTACCATGCTAAAATGCTCTTAGTGTTAATGTAACAAATTTCGCCTTATTACTGTTCAAATTAAATAAAACATTAGCTTTCTTTGAAAGCATTTACTTAGTATTTTTTCCTAGAATAATAAAACAAGCATTCGCAAATTAATAGAATTTTTTTATGTTGTAATATTTTTAACTAATAACGGAACATAGTTGCTGCAAAGTTTCAATTTATGAGCAGTTTATAATTTTGAAAAGATTTACGTAATATTTAAGGATACTCAGAAATTTTTCATTTAAATGTAAAAAAATTCCCCAATAACTAATGCTGTATTTTCTTCACTTTCTTGACTTGGCATTAAGTAATAAATTTTTAAGCAATTAATCTTTATTATTTAAGTCAGAGTTTCCTCTAAAAGTTTTCACAAGGTTAGGATTTCGAGCTCAGAGAAAAGTTTTGGAAAATTTTTAACATTTTCAAAAAATCTTTCAAAATTTCTTTAATTTTTGATAGAAAAATTCTGAAAAAGAAAGAAAATACTTATAATAATCACTTTGATTTTAGAATGGCTATTTAATAGCTTAAATCAAAATTACATTTCAGTAATCACACAGGAAAAATTTAAAACAATTAAATAAAAACTTAGTCTTCAAAACTGTTTTAAAGGCTATCTCGAGGAAGTTCCAAAATTCATTTAAACAAATTTTACAGTGTTATACCATGGGCTTCATTAATAGATTAGCTTTCTGACATAACAATTGGTAAATTGTATAATTTATAAATTTTCTTTTTTTATGTAAACTTGCATCTGACTCCAATATAAAATTTAACAGTTTTAACGAAATTTTACTGAAACATATATATTATAAAGTTTTGTATATATTTCTGTTCTTTCGTTTTTTCAGTTTTTAATAGTATATTAAAATATTTTGATAGGGTTTCTTTTTATAGCATTTTACTCTCAAAATAGAAATGTAGAAACAAACGCCTTAACTTTAAACACTATTATTTTGTTTTCAGCCGAGTATTAGTTTCATTCAAAAATTTAGACTTATCAGTTGACAAACAGATATTTATTTAAGAAAAGAAACGAAGTATTTGCTTTCTTTTAATTGCATTTTTTTAGTTGTTAATCGTCAATTCGGAGAATGAGGTTGGCGGTATTTGTTGAGATATGTATTTGGCGACAATTATAAATACGATAATCTATTGAATGTGCTAGTTTGATTCAATATGAAAAAAGGAATTAGTCTCCAGCAATGGCGAAAGCCACCTTTTTATCCCAATCTGTATATTAACCAAATTTGTTAACAGTTTAATAGTGGACTCTTTGTCGAGGTGTTAGACTATACATCAGTTTTGTACACCTTTTTCCTTCGTTTTTGGTTGTTTGCAGGCTTTTCCAGTTTTACTTATTTTTATTCCATCATTCTGTAAGAATTTACACTAGTTACTAAGTAAAAGAAGGTATGGAGGTCAAAATTGGCCCAGAAATAACTTATTTATTAGTAGCAAGAATAACAGAGACTTTAGTACACACAAGTAGGCTTTCAATGTATCATTGACAGTGTTATAGATTTATTAGTTTGTAGCTTCTACAGCTTATCTAGAGGACTGTTATTTCTCTGGAGTAAATCTTCATTAAAATCAATTAAATTATTTAAGTTAGGATTATACGAGAGGCAAGCTAGACATTTTAGTACATTTATTTAAATTTTGTAAAATAGTGTATGTAATTATGTGAAGCTACATATTGAGCTGCCTATGTGTGAATTAGGCAGTTAATTTACTGTAAATTTAGTTTATAAAACCTTCATGGTTGTGTTAATTCAAGTTTGGTTTATTTACATTAGTTGGTCTATTCAATGATTTTATATTTTAGATCAACTGGAAACTATAACTCTCCAATGTACAGAAGAGAGAAAAAGTTAATTAATGAAAGCCAACTAAATCTCATACATTCGGTACACATTTAAATTTATTATTTGTTTATAACAAAAACTACAGCTTCAGAATTTATCTCGACAATTACATTTACGGTCATTATAACTAATTTACTTACTTCTAGTTTTCAATAAATGTGTCCTCCTTCACCATGATAACCTCCATCTGAAACGTATTGATAAATCACATCATTACTGTGTATTACTTCTGGGATTTTGTGGTGGTACCTCCTGTCATATCTCACACTAGTCGCAAATCCATGATCTCCATAACCATGATGGCTATGACTGTGCGTTGGATGAATCTGAATGTCGTAGTCATGTTCCAAATATTCTGACGCTAGAACTGCAGCCAGGAAACAACTGATGACAACGAAGAGAACCTAAAATTAAGATTTATGAGTTATTTTAAGAGCATTTTATGAGGGATTCCATGAACTCTTATAATATTTTCATTGACACTTATTAACCTTTTCATGTTATGTGCTACAAAATCCATTACCACCACCATTAAATTATTTCTCGCGAGTTCTTTTATTTTGGGAGAAACTGCCTTTATTGATGAGAGATAAAATAAAAGTCACCTGTATGTCTCCTTAATTTTATATTTTAAAATTTTAGTGATATAGAATACGAAGTGCAGAATAGTTGGATTTTAGCGAATTTTCTGAGCAACACAAAATTAGTTAGATACATTTGCCTGTGTTGGTATATTTGTCTAGTCTACTGTTGATGGTATATAAGTTATTTATATTTGTCTGCGTCAAATATGTCTTTTACTTTAGGACTGTGGTATTTCAGAAAACGTTTCATAGAAGTATTGGCTTGTATCTACCTTGCGTATGAGTAAAACAATAAAACAATGAAATCTTCCATGTGTAATTCGTCCTACAAAGAATGGATCCTTGAAAGGAATTATTAAAACTCAGCTGTTCATTAAGCTTTTAAAAGATTTAAAGAAAGTGTTTATCAGATTTCATCGTATGATAAAACTCTAAATGAATAATGGTATCCGATCTAAAAGGTACTTTAATAAATACTTGTAGTTTACAGATTTTAAATTTTAACGTAATGTCATTTTACTGAATTATATTATTCTGAGTACTTTTTAAAGTTCCTTCTTCTTCGACTTCATTTATTTAACTTTTAGATCTTTCCTTTTTCTTTTTCTTTTTTTTTTCTTCAAAATTTTCATTCTTTAGTTAATTTCAAGTTTCACACATTTATAAATTTTAGACCACTACTGTTCAATATTAAGTCTTTCTAAAGCTATTCACCGTTACCTGCACTCAATTATGAACTACAAAACTATATTTTCCTGACTACTTATAGATTTATCAAGAATTTTAAACCACAAAATTCATCATCACTGATTTTAGCATATTCCTTTCATTTCAAAATATAATTAGAAAGGTTACTTTATTGTAGATTTGATAACTGTTTGTGAATTGTTTTGAAATAAATACTGTGTCTTTGTAGTATAATATTGTAATTAAATTACTGAATGATGAAAAATTTCTTAAACGAATTATCTGAATCCATATTTTTTAAATCATGCAAGATATTTTGAGAGTAAAAATTTATAAGCTTCTTTTGATTTAAATAATCAACCCCATTATTTATGCTATTATATAAATATATTTAAATTTAATATGATCATTAATTATTTTAAATTAGAATGATGTTGTACAATAACTTAGGGACCAAAAAATTTATTCATGTTAGTTATTTTAGTGTTATAAACTCTCTACTTTATAATTTTTAAAAACTATCTCATAAAAAAATCTGACAGCTTTAAGAAGAGCGAATATTATAACAAATCCTAATATTCTCTTTAAAATATTTATTATTGATTTAATTTATATAATACTACATATATTTCGATTTCAAAACTAAAATAAATAAATAGAGTAACAGAAAAAGTGTTTTTTTCCTAAACTATAACTAAGTAACAACAGTTGTAAAACTCAGGTAATAAATACAAAAAGATTGGTGCTGGTCGTTACTTGAGTGGCCTACATAATTAGCGATATAAAACGATAAATATGTAACTCCGCTTAAAATAATAACAATAACAGTAACAAAGCTAAAACACTAATATTTTACCAACCTTGAACTTTTGAACTTATGTACATGTAAGATAAAAATATGTAAAGCAAATTTCTAATTTTAATTGGTAATAGTCTCTTTTATTCTTCATTTTAATTTGTGTACTTCCCTTTTCTCTCCTGAAAGTAGCAGCTGTTAAATCCGAAACGAAAATATAAAGTAATAAACTCCGAATGAAAATATTAAGTGAATATTCTCGGAACGAAAATAGCTATATTTGCTGAACTAAATAAAAATATTAGATAGAAAATCGTAAGAAAATTCTGATTTGCGTATCAAACACGCATGCAGCAATAGTTTGCTCTTACATAAGCATATATAAGTAACGAATGGGTAGTCTAAGTGCAAACATCTAACTTAATTACAAAATTGCACATGTGATGAAATATCAAGAAAGCCATTTAGAAATTCGAATTGCAGTGAAATTCCTTATATCGACTAGAAAATACTAAATTGAAGCAGTACATAAGCAATATATAAAACTGTTGTTCATTTAAAAACTATGTTTAAAAAATAAGCTCCAAAATCGATATAAATTAATGGCTGGAAACCAGGTATTTATTAATTATACTTTTTGACAAAATCATATTTTGATGACTTTCAGAAATCGTAAAATGCTGCCGCATTTTGTCAGAAAGGCCACCTTTGGCAATCTTTATTCATATCTAATGTTTTTCTGCCTTTGGCACCTAGAAATTAATTTTAACTGATTTCATTCTTTATGCTTGTTTGAAGCCTTATTAACATGTTTTCCAAAATAGTACGGAATTCAATCATCACAAATTTTCTATACAATAATTAATTTTTAAGATACTTCTCTATAAGTGTATATTGTTTCCTTTTTTATGTCAGAGAGAGAATTTGTTTAATACTCTAGTGAATTTTACTTATTTGAAGTGAATTCAGGGATGGTATGTACCACTTCTTGTTGCCAACAAGTCTGCCGGTGGGATAACTGAATAGTTAGGTCTATCAGCTTTATGTATTTTGTATTTCATTATAATAAATTATTTTAATTAAATTTTAAACGGTGGTACGTTTTTTAGTTATGTTGTTAATTGTTTAGTACCTACATTATCATAAAAACATTCAGAGGAAAACATCCTAAAAGGCCTGATTGAATACAGTCCTCCATACTGAACTTGAATATCTTCGTTGTTACTATTAGTAGTATAACATTTCTAGGTAGATCTGAGTTTCAAGAGCTGGTGCATGTTTTTCTCTACATTTAAAATTATATGTATGCACAACAGTATGAAACGTCCAAAAGTCAGAAATTGTAATGTCTTTTTTTCCTAGATTTAATAGCAATAAAATTCTTATTTCTGATTGATCCCAAGATTTATACAACTTCAAAACTAAAGCACAGCATTTTTCAACCTGGAAAACTATAAAAGTTTTCTCCCATACATATGTTTTTGCGGCGTAATAGTCGGAATATAAATGCGCTATACTGAGGATCCAAGTTTATTTCTCGAAGAAGAGAGAGTATATGTTTCAAGTAATAGCTTGTTGTCCCAACAAGCTTTTACAAGTGAGTGCCTTTTATCATCACATTTGGTACACAATACAATTTTGCCACACTAATTAATTTAACTATACTGTAGTTTAATTAATTGTTGAAATTAATATAATTAATTATGAAGTCAGAATATATTTGCTGAAATTTATAAGTAATTATATTTTGTGAGTGATAATTCTTTTCTTTTCCTTTCATAGAGAAACAAATTTTATTATTTACCATTTGGACTGGTGTATACTAGCCAGTTTCCCTTAGAAAGTCCTCCACGAAGGCTCCCTCCCGTTAGGCAGATAGCCCTAGTGTGCTTTGCCATAATTAAATACACCACACTACCATTTAGACTGTACGATACAGTTGTTAACTAAGAAATTTGGGTAGTATTTTATAATACTAAGATTTGACAGAAATGAACAAAACATGAGCTGCCATTGAAGCCTTATTAGTTATTAATTACAGCCTTTGAATGTCTTTAAAAATTTATGCCCTTGATGCAACCATTTAAATAGCGAGAAAAATAAAATAAATAAATGATAAAGCCAAATAAGGATTTTCAACAAAAAGGGTGATTGATAAAATTTTAAAAGTCTGCATCTGGACTAAAATTCGTAGAAAACTCTAAAAAAGGTCTTTAAAAAATACAATATAAATATTGATTTGGATAAATCTAAACAGGATTTAGTTTTTGAAGAGAGAGAATTAGGTAAGTATCGACAACAAGAAGAGGAAATAAGAAGTAAATGCTGTTAATGCGAATTACGGTAGGAAAATTTGTAAGTATCTTTGGATGATAAAATATTATTTTCCAAAGTATTCTCTCATAAATTGGAATGGAATCGTATTGTCATAAAATACAGGAATCATTGATTTTTAATATAGGTTAAGCGTGTAACGTACACAAATCACATGAAAATGGGTTAAGCGTGTAACGTACACAAATCACATGAAAATGGGCTAGTTCCTTTCCACCTCATACAATTTTGCAGTCAGAAAGCTTACATATAAAATCTAAATAATATAGTTTTTTTGTGTCAAAACACCAATGTTTTCTACTTCGTAATTCAAGCATATTATTGTAAAGATTATATTATTATAATAGATAAAATTATTATAATAGGCATATTATTATAATAGACAAAATACCTCATTATTTTTCTAAAGGGATAAACAGTGCAATTAAAATCATTCCTAAACACTGAATGAGCAATAATTTGTTTTTAATTTCATAAATTTTAATTAGTTTATTGTGTTTATGAATAAAATTTACAGAAATGTACTTTGTGCACATTTTGCATTTCAAATTTATGTTTGTTAGAAAAAAACTTTAATATAATATAATAATACATATTTGGACTCGATGAATTTAAACAAGTAGTAAAAAAAATTATTATTTTAAATCTTCGTTCCAAGCATTAAGTAATATGAAACTGCTCTTACCAGGTTTTTGTTCATATTGAAGGAAAGCTCTACTGCCCGCGTAGATGATTTTTATAATGTCCAGTTATGTGAGTTTCTTTTATGGCACATCTTAATCCCCGCGAGTCTTTTATATCGTGAGAGGCTATTGGATGCAAAATCACGATCCACTTTCTTCAAAACAATATTCCTTCCCCCCCCCCATCCTACCGTCTCGGCCAATGATTGATACTTCCGAAGACAAAAATGAGGTTAGGTGTTCAGGATCAACGAAACTGTTTCGATTCGCAATGCTTGTCTATTACGGTTAGTATCACAAAAAGGAACCAAGTAAGCAGGTAAACAGAGTTTCCTTCACCAGTTTTAATTTCTCCATAGATTGAAAGACTCGCATTCTTACTTAACGCGAAACATACAATGTCCCCGGTTAAAAACGTTTAGTGATATCTTAATCTCACTTCCTTCTTCCAATTATGTATTTTTTATAATGATTATGTCAATACGTTGTGAAGTCACAAGTCTGAATTTTCAGAAATATTTCATTTGTACTAAATTTTAACCCTTTGTTGCATACAAATAATCTAGAGACGTTAAACGAAAATGTTTGTATTTTTTCTACTTAAAACAACCTTAGTAATAATAAAAAAAATAATTTTATTCAAATTTCGTTTTAAATAATTGCTACAGTTTTTTCACTACAGTGGACAGCATGCCTATACGTACTTGCATACAAATCTCTTCCCAACGATTTAAGGTCATTGCATTTTAAATAATTTCCTGCCTTGTTTGCAGCGATCATTACCATCTTCTATATAGTAAATCTACAACTGATATGTACATACAGATCCCCCAAAATACCTTCATTTCGTCGATTGTGATTGATTCATTTTGCGTCGACTTTGTACCTATTGGACTCAAATGTCAAATGCTCTAGATAAATTCATTGCCAAACATAAACTTTTCCAGAGGTGTTTTATCTAAGCAGTACATTTGGGTTTCAATTCACTCTTTTCGGTATATCTTTATCTACCCACTCCCCAATTTTCTCAAACTGAAATTTAAAATAAAATGTCTAAAATTACTAATTATGAATATGGCAGTATAAGAAAATGTAAGCAATCTTATATAATGTTTATTATGAAAAATTGTACTGTTACGAAATGTACAGGAGTGGTAAGATGGCTTCCCAGCAAAGCAGTTTTAGGGTTGCCATAAAATAGCAAGGGAAGGCATGTTTGCCACATTTGGTGTGAAATCGTCCATTTGGCGGCATTTGGCGACAAAATTGACGATATGCCATGCTATATAAACCCGGCTATATAAAATATATATATATATAGTCGAAAGCTATATAAACCCGGCTGGTCCGCAGTCAGTTAGTGTGTGCTTCATCGAGAGGGCGATTCAGAGTGCCTCGTCTGGAGTGCGAGTTAGTATCGAGTGTGCTTCATCGAGAGGGCGAGTGTGTGTGCCTCGACTAGCGAGCTCATAGTCAGTCATTGAGCGAGTGTCTCGAAGGTCTAGTGCCGAGTTGGTCGTCGAGTGCATCGAGAGAGTCTTTTAGTGCATCTCCGAGTTTTGTCTCAAACTGTGCTGAGTCGAGAGCTATACTCTTGTGTATCGTCGAGTGCATCGGGAGTTGTAGCGTGGAGAGTCTCGAGAGTACGTGGAGTTCCGAGAACGACCAAGTAGAGTCGAGAGCTGTACTCTAGTGCTTTGCCGTGAAGCTGTCTCCACCGTGATAGCCTGATAACCTGAAGGCTGTGTCGCTGATCGTGTCAGCGTGTTTATAGTAGCTCATCGACGACTGTAAACCGTGTTTTGGAGCTGTCCTGACAATACTGGTAAATGAAGTGTTTTCGATACTTCATCAAATGTCGTTGTTATTCACTCCAAATCTACGAACCCCGTACGAGCGTGAAGGAGGAAAATAACGTAACAACGGGTGACAGAAAAGAAGAGAAAAACGCAACAGTACTAACTTGGAAAAAGAAGTAGCAGCCATGTTCCAAATGGCAAAGCTTTACTTAGTGATGCTATACAGCCATCTATGATCGACAGTTGAAATTCTAATAACATAGAGTGAATAAACACAGGAATGGAATCTGTTAAGGCATTTACAGAAGAATAAACAAATATAAACTTTTGTCTATTAGAGTGGACATGATGCAACAAAGGGTTAATAGTTTATTACAGCAAGTTAGGTAATGTTCATCGTGTTTTCTACAGCTTGGGATGAAATGAAGTACATATACTGCGCAATATCTGCATGGAACCAGTACTTAAAACAATTGTTTGTCATGGGATGAACTCCAAATAGCCAAGCTGAATTTTGAAGTACATCCCGTCTGTAACGCGATCTTTCAGAGTAATTAATGACTAAAGAAGAGCAAGCTAGATTATTTGCTCATTTGAAAGTAAGGTTACTTCGATGTAAAATATGCAATGCCTTCGTCGGGATTCGGCACCGATTGCTATCCGGACGTATTATCCAATTACACTCCGAAGACACTCAGAAAGGAGGTAGAATATGCCTCATAAAATTATTAAAACGGTTTTTTTGAATTAGATGCCTTTTGAAAATAGATTCTCTCTGTGGTGTAATGTTACGAATTTTGTATTTAGTTAGCAATTTTTAGTAGAATTGTAATTAAAATTGTTTTACTTTCCCGTGCTGTGTAGCATGTGACGAGTTCTAAGAGAAAGCTACGTCCGAAAAAGTAAAAATATAGAAGCACGCTCATTTAATATATAGGTATCTCGTAATTTATATTTAAATTGAATAAATGCAATTCTGCGTTACCGTAACTGTAAATCTACTCTCTTTAGCTTTCCAGAAACTTCGAGAAAATAAATTTAACAGAATGTTCATATGCACGATTAAAATGTTTTAAAAATCCTGAGGAAAACATCTCAGTTCAGTTGTTTATTACTTGTGTTGTTTACATTAGCTGCGATAAATTTTGTTGAACGGATTAGCTTTCTATCGGCTTTGGATTGTGTTCTATTAGTATTTTAAAATATAACTACTGATTATATTGCGTGATATTGTGATATTGTACGAATATGTGTAAGGAAACGTTTCAGCATTTTGTTTTATTTCTTGTGATAAGAATAAATTTTATTAACTTTTAATCGGACTTGTGCATTCAATCAATTATGAACACGCACGCAAGCAACAATAAATTAACTGTATAGCAGTATTGGTGGAAATTTAATTCTCAAGTTCCTTGCATTACGAGATATAACAACAAACAGAATTAGAAGGGAGCTTTACTTTAGCAGCATATGTTTGGACTGTTACTCATTAAGCTGTGAGTGTTCTTGAGGCAGCTTAAGATAGAAAAACGTAGATAAATGTATGTGTATGTATAATGTTTTAGATGTGCATTAATTATTACAATAGGTACAAATTGTTTAAAATGTTTACCCTCATCTGACGAATGAAACAGGGCTTAAACATTTATAACACTTAGAGAAAAGGATGTAAAAATTAGCGTATTTTATTTTATAAAGCACTGAAATTACTAGTCATCATAAAATTAGCTGATGTGTTTAAATTTTGATGATTTGTCGTTTGCAAAAAGCAGCAAAACTTAATCCATAAATTAAAAAACAGAAAGCGTAAGGAAAACTTTTGGCTTTTAACACTAGAGTAAATATCTTTCGTTGTCTCTTCATTGACAGGAATATTCTGTGCATGTGCTGTTGGACTATTACCTTAGAGGATGAGGAAAAATATGATGAATACAAAACGCTTGAGCAAAACAGAAGCAGAGAAAGCAAGAAAATGATTTTACGAAATAAGAGATTTTTAACTTAAAAGAAAAGGGCATTTAGAATAAAATCTAAACGTATTAAATTTATCAGATTATGAGAAATATTAAAGACATTAAAAGAAGATAGTTCCCTGTGTTAAACAGCACTTTTGCTAGATTTAGTTGAAATGAGTTGAACAAAATTTTGAGGAACAGATGAAAGACAGGTAAGGAACACTGATTTTTTCTTCTGAGGTTTAATTAATAACAACTTTAAAATAGATTTTAGTATGATTGGTACATTAAACATTATATAGGAATAAAATATGTTAAAAATTCCCTAAGAATTCAAAGTTTCTGAATGGTGTTTCAAGATATGAATCACTACTTTTGTTAACAAGGAGAACAACGAGAAAAAAACCTAAATTACTTCGGTTCAGGAAAAAAACTGAAATTTTACTTGCATGGATTAGAATATGTTAAATGTGGATATTCCAGACAGTTTTGTAATAAATAGAAAAATTTCTAATATGCCCAGCACACAACCTCCCGCCAACTCCATCTATAGCAGTAAAAGTAAAATATCACTTAAAGTTGATCATTTGTAAACAAAATATAATTTATTGTCCCAATAAAGAGAAAGATCCGAAATACACTCGGAATATTCCTATATGTCCAGCAAATTTTGGAACATATTTTATGAGATATAATTGACCATGAATAAAAGCTAGTTTCTCTAAATTGATATCAATATAATTAAATGTTTGTTCCTTCATTGCTAAATACCAAGTAGTTCGTTTTTTATTAACGAAAATTTTATCTGTTTATAATAGATGTAAAACATATGCTTCGAAACGAACACCGTAATTTTTTTCTACGTTATTTCTATAACATCAACAAGTCTAAATTCATTTTGATCTGCACGAATATTTCCGAGATATTTAGTTATCAGTAAAAATTGTTCGTTAGTTCCTGGAATAAAAACTGAATAGTACTAATTACTGCGCGTTCATCAGTAAGAAGTAAAGCAAAAGATGCTTTGACTCCGTTGTTAGTCCGTGACTCGTCATCATCAACAAACATGCCTGCATTACAAGAGCTTTGAAGTTCAGTAAATGAAACGCTGTTATGAAAATCCTTCTGTTCTACAGCTTCATAAAAATAAATATCATATCCAAGTATAATGGAAATAGACTTAGTATGTTTTGCATTATTTTACATTAAACTCTTATTATAGTAGTTATTCTAGTTTATTTTTTTTACGAAAATCTGTTAGGATTTCGAAGTTCCATTTCCGGTTTATCATATATAGTTAAATCTAATATATAGTTTTTAATCATGATTGTTTATGCATATGCGGTTTTAAATATAAACTGAGACAAACATATTTTTATAATATT